GTAAAAATGCAAGTAGAAAAATAGGAACCACCTTTGGTAGGAAGGTAACGGCGTTCCATGCACCTTCGGCGTTTAGTCATGCCGATCACATGATCACAAAGACATCTTCGGACAGCACTGGTTCTTCGGCTTAGAAACGGAGGTGAGCAACGCCCCCTAGAGTCAGGAACGACTAGCACATATGTGCGAGGGGAACCTTTACCTTTACTTGTTCTGAAGTCTGGTTTAGTTTTAGTCCAAATTAGTTTTAAATTGTTATATTAAAAAAACGTCCCTTAAAAAGATCAGTTTTAGAACTTTCTTTGAAATTATTGTAGTACAGGGTAATTCTTGACTTAACAGAAGTTCATTTAGTAGCCATTCAAAGTTAAAATGGTACTGGGAAAAGTGATTTATGACCATTTTTCACATGTACGACCATTGCAGCATCCCCATGGTCATGTGATTTACACTTGGATGCTTGACAACTGATTCATCTTTACGACGGTTGCAGTGGCTATATGATTCGCTTTGGTGACCTTCTGACAAGTCCATCACATGGTCCAATCTTCCACTGCCACGAAGGCAGATTCCTTCCATCCACATCCGGCCAGGTGCAGGAACAAAAGTGACCTTGACTTTCTAAGAAGAATGTTGTTATGGCTACACATCACCCAGCTCCCTATAATTCCCCCTTCCCATTCTCCCACAGTAGAAAGTGTGGCAGGCCTGAAATCCAAAAGGCCAAAGATAGATTCCATGCCTGACATTGTACTTGGAATCAGACTGCCTATACTAGAGTGGGAAATTGGGTATGGGCCGTGGAGTTTTCTGCCCTCAGCTCCCAGCTAGTACAGGACTAGAGCTGGGGATGGAAGGGGTCAGGCATCTGGAAGTCCTTAGCTTTCCCAATTGAAATGAAGGTAACTTCAGCCTGGGTCTCTTTGGTGCCAGTCTGGCCCTGTAACCACTACACCAGCTCGCGCGCCAAGCCTGGGGTATCACCGATAAGTAAATCACACCTAGTTTGCCCAGTTTTGATGCTCAAAAATTCTGTGTAACTCAATCTGAATCTATCTTACTGTTCATAAGTGCATATTTTTTCAGCCAGGGGGTCAGCCCTGTTGGCTTGACTAATAAATGCACCTGTGTGTGTGTTTGTGTGTTTAGGTGACAATGCTCTTCCAAATGGGTTAGACGTCACCTTTGATGTAACAGAACTGAGAAGACTAACTGGAAGTTACAACACCATGGTTGGCAACAACGAAGGAAGCATGGTAGGTCTTGCATCATTGGGTTTTTTTGCCGAGGGTCAGCTCTGAAACATGATAGCTAGGCCATCTAAATAGAAACACGATTGAAATAGTCTTCCAATTCTACACGGCCCATTTGTGCTGCTTACCTTATAGGTGGCACCTTCCTCAGTAGTAGTAACTGTGAGCGGGATCTTGGAGTCCTAGTGGACAACCATTTAAATATGAGCCAGCNTTTTCAAAAAAAATTTATGAACCTTGGTGGCGCAGTGGTTAGGGTGCAGTACTGTAGGCTACTTCTACTGCCTGCATTTGGCAGTTCGAATCTCACCAGGCTCAAGGTTGACTCAGCCTTCCATCCTTCCGAGGTGGGTAAAATGAGGACCCAAATTGTTGGGGGCAATAGGCTGACTCTGTAAACTGCTAAGAGAGAGCTGGAAAACACTGGAAAGCAGTATATATAAGTGCTATTGCTAATTTGAAACTCCTTGACTGCCACAAAGAAAGCAAAATATTTTCTAATTTTTTGGGTGCTCTCCAAAATCTCACAAAAACACATATACACTTTTACTGCCAGAGAGGCTTCCATCTGCTATTTTTTTTCCTTTGGAGTTCACTGAAGATACCACCCTAAGCTGGAAGCCCTCAAAAAGTGTAGACTTCATTTCCCAGAATTCCCAAACAACATGACCTTTACTGAGAATTCTGGGAGTTGAAATCCACCTATCTATGAATGTCCTACATCAGTCTTTCTTAACCTTGGCAATTTTAAGATACGTGAACTGGGGGATTCTGGAAGTTGAAGTCCACATGTCTTAAAATTGTCAGAGTTGAGAAACACTTGAGTATTGTATCCAAACCAGCATTTTATGTTTCATTAATGATGTGGACTTTACATCCAGATATCTTTAATTCAAATGAATATGATAAGCCATAAAAATATAATTCATTGGTGGAAGAGAAATGCAGGGTTTTTTTTAAATTACATTTATTACCTTAGTGAGCTTGAGAGCAGATATCAAATATATCATCCAGTTTCCTTAACAGGAAAAAGTAATAGAAATCTATAATGCGATTTGGAATTTGTGGATCTTAAAAATTCCCCCCCCCCCATGCTTTTCATTGTAACTTTATTTACTTCATTAAAAATTCCCCCCCCCCCATGCTTTTCATTGTAACTTTATTTACTTCAGAACAAGAAAGGAGCAAAGGCATTCAGAACAAGAAACTCATATGATTTCTGCTTTTCTTCCTTTTAAATTTAAATTATAAATAAAATCCATAGATTATTCAGTCCAAGTTTTATGAAGAGACATGCAACTTAAGCCTTAAGTTTCAATAATAGTAGGAAGCGACAATAATATGACATCATAAATCAGCCATATTTCAAATGGATTCAGTAATTTATTTGGAATACAGTACTTGATGCTTTGTGTCTCATTATTTTCCGCTTTTAAAGGAACAGGAATTCTTGTACATGACACACAAAGATTAAAACTGTGTTTTAGGAAATTGGACTTTTGCTATCAGTAACTTACCAACTCTGTACTTTGGCATTGCAATGGGTTAAAATGTCAGTAATAGTAATCCCTTATTAGACTATTTTCTTGTGAGGTATTATAAATTTTCCAATCAAAGGGTTAGTGTTAGGTTGGAGACTTGTTACAAATTAAGTGGAGAATAATATCCCCATAGGAACCCAACTAGCTGTTTTTATTTATTTCAAATTCATTGTCAACTTTTTAGCAGGTTTTGTTTTGACAAAATATCTAATCTTTAAGAGATTTTTTTGGGGGGGGGGGACATTTTAAAGAAAATCTAAGAACTGCTGAGTGGAGAGAAGAGGAATGAAATGTACTTAAAACAGTTTTTCACATTGTTAAAACGTTTAATAGTATGGACACAGACTTATTTATATTCTTTTGGTGCTATTTTCCGCCAGTGCCAAAGTACTGTTTTGTGTGATGACTGGTCACACACTTATTTTCCTAAACTTTTATTGTATTTCCAAAATGAACTATTCGTAATATTTCTGCAATCAGCAGTGTTTTTAAAGAAGCAGAATAAAGAGATGCTGTGTTTGGTGATCATTGTGTTTTGTTCATTATCACAAGTCAAATGCTTAATTGCTTGATAGAACTGCTGTATGAGGTGATCTATGAATATGCAGTTCGGCAGTTCGAATCCCTAGCGCTGGTTAAAAGAGTGAGCTCCCGTTACTTGTCCCAGCTTCTGCCACCCTAGCAGTTCAAAAGCACGTAAAAATGCAAGTAGAAAAATAGGGACCACCTTTGGTGAGAAGCAGTGGTNATTCCCCAGCCAGCGAATGCTGGCTGGGGAATTCTGGGAGTTGAAGTCCGGACATCTTCAAGTTGCCAAGGTTGAGAAACACTGAAATAGAGCATTTGCTTTCGTTTTCCCCTTTGCTTTCCCCCCACCCCTTAGTTCATGGCACTGAATAGTAGGGAATAGTCCGTCCCTGAATAGTAAGGAAGCACAAGCAAGCATTGAAGTGGCAGCTGACAGTCATGACATAGTATATTTAGAATATTTATTTCTATTTAAAAAATATTGAATTGCATAATGTATAGCACTGAATGAACAGGCCAGTGTAAAATCAGTTCCTTGCTTATGCCAGCATTTCTCAAGTTTGGTAGCTTTAAGACGGGTGGACTTCAAGTCCCAAAATTCACCAACCAGCAAGCGAGTTGATTCTGGGAATTGAAGTCCATTCATCTTAAAGCTGCTACATTTAAGACATTGGCTTATGCTGACAAGTTTTTTCAAAGTGGGGAACCATAGAGATGTGGGAAGTCATGAGTCAGTGTGAGGTAGGAGAGATTTCAGTCATTGGTTCTTGGACAGCAGCCACTCCTTGTCACAAACTCTTCTGAAACCTGAATCAGTTTCAGAAGTATTTGGTAATATCGTGGTGGAAGTTTGGAGATAACTAAAACGTTTGCATGGGATAAAGCTTAGATACTTTCATGAAGTTGAGAAACCTATTTGAAACCAATTCAAAGTGGTGGTGTACAGGATGGTCAAGGAAACGATGTATGCTTCTGTTTTGACTGACTTTTGAAAGTGGTCAACAGGGACCTCCAGCTTTTTATCCTGCCTCCATCTCCCTAGGACGATCTGGCTTTTGATGTCAAGGATCCAAGTAACACCCCCCTCCCCCCCAACGAAAGAATCCAAGACTTGAGTTTCCTCAAAGTTCCATTTTATTAGAGATGTCCTATGGGCACATCTTGGAAACCCCAAATCTGAAAGCTTCCAGGTTTTCTCCACCCAAGTGGAAGTTCCAAGCCCCTGCCCAGCACCCACATGTCCATCACATGGTTCAATCAGTACACCCGCCCAACTGGAGGCGCCACGCCATCACACCACGCCAGGTGCAGACCGAATGTCCTTGACTCTCTGAGAAAGTAATGTTATTATGGCTAGATATCCCTGCGACTCCATGCAATTCCCCCCCCCCCCAGTTTCCCACAGCATTAAATGTGGCAATCCTGAAGAATTCAAGAAAAAAAATGATCTCCAGGGTTGACATTTGGAGAGTACAGGTGCAGATGTTTCATCTTAGCNTTTAAGAAGATGTTGGATAGCCATTTGTCTGAAACGGTATAGGGTTTCCTGCCTAGGCAGGGGGTTGGACTAGAAGACCTCCAAGGTCCCTTCCAATTCTGCTATTGTATTGTATTGTATTATGTAATTACTTAGGAATATGAGTTCTACGCTTTTAGATTAGTCCACCTTAGACTAAAGTAAGAAACAGAGATGAGCACCACTCCCTAGAGTTGAACATGCCTGAAAAGGGGAAAACATTCACCTTTATTTTAGATTAAGATAACAAGAAGTGGTTTCTTTTTTTGTCTCGAAGGAAGAAAGCTACTTTTCTTGTTGATCATAACAAAATATGGATCGATTAATGTTAAGAAGGGATGCAGTGGCTCCGTGGTTAAGATGCTGAGCTTGTCGATCAGAAGGTGGCAGTTCAGCGGTTCGAATCCCTAGTTACTTGTCCCAGCGTCTGTCAACCTAGCAGTTTGAAAGCATGTAAAAAATGCAAGTAGAAAAATAGGATCCACCTATTTGGTGGGAAGGTAACAGCGTTCCGTGCGCCTTCGGCATTTAGTCATGCTGGTCACATGACCACGGAGACGTCTTCAGAGAGCACTGGCTCTTTGGCTTTGAAACAGAGATGAGGACTGCCCCCTAGAGTCGGGAATGAGTAGCACATATATGCGAGGAGAACCTTTGCCTTTACCTTTTAATGTTAAGAACTGAAGACTTGGCTTTTCAAGATTGCAAGGAGAATGAAAGTTTTAAAAAGCTGATAAAGAAGCTAATGGTAAAGAGCGTGTCAGTATGAGCCACCGACCATCTTACCATCTATCGTGTACTACAGGTCCTTGGACTCAAACTGCCTAATATTTTGGGGCGTGCCGAGAAGGTGACATTCCAGTTCTCCTATGGCACCAAGGAAACGTCATACGGTCTCTCCGTCTTCAAACCACAGCCTGGTCACTTTGAAAGAAAGTAAGACTTTTAAAAGTACGTGAATGCTATGGGCATACATTTTAGAGTCTCTAAAGTTCCCACCTCACATTTTCTTACTATTCACTTCTTTGCACATTGGCACCAGACACTGAGGAAACAGTCTGATTGCTCTTAATTCTCCAGTATAGGCATGGGTAGAAGATGGTGGTGCCCAGTTATATGTACCCGTGAATACATGCCCGTCTTTCTGAAAATCAAGCTCAGAATTCTCTCTTAAATATTTAGCTTTGGCCAAGGGAGTTTTCCTTCCAACAGTTACACATCCGCCGTGTGGGATTAATTTTCTACATCTTAAATTCCTATGTCGAGATTATATTGTAACTTATTTTGAACGAAGTTGTTTTCCGACATTAGTGAACTTGGAAAGGATGTAGAATTATAGAGCTGCTGTTTCTTATTATTCATGAAGACCAATGTCATACCATTATGATAGTAAAATCTGGCAAGATAATTTGGGTCTGCATTCTGCATCCTATGAGTGGTTCTTTTCTTATTTTTTTTTATTTGCAGTCTGGATCCTATCTAATCACTATCGTAGATTTGAGCAATAGACAGATTATAAACAGGGAAGAATCTGGTGTGGGGGGGTAAAAGCTGTTATATTACCTTCCTGGTATCTTCCAGATACTTTGGATTTCCTCTCTCACAATCTTAGCATACGTTCTGTTGCTTACATCCTGTCTTATAAACTTCCTGTTTCTTCCATGATGGAAAAACATTTCTTTTGCTAATACGAGCTTGGTTTTTATTACACCGGCACAGTCTTCAAATAGTTGTGCCCCAGATTAAAATGAATACAAATATCTGAGCTGTTAATATTTCACGAGATGCCAAAGATTACTAAGCATTAAATTGTTGGCTACTTTTTTTTAATCTATAAGCTTTTTTCTTTTAACCCTAACCTTAAAAGTACCAAAAAAAATATGCAACTTTCAGTGCAATGGTACATTTTGTTCTCTAGGGTCAAATCCTTCATAGAGACAAATGGAATAGAAGTGTTCTGTCCTTCTCAAGTCTATGTTGGGATTTTGTTGCAGGTTTTTTATTTTTAAAAAAATCGTTTATCTTGTTTGTTTCCAGCATTTCTCTCAATGTGTACAAAGTAACTGGACAATTTCCTTGGAGTTCCCTACGTGAAACCGACAGAGGAATATCAACCGAAGTCAATGTAGGTAAAATAGAGCCATGTTGTGTACCAGCTAGTGAAGGATGGTGAATAACTGGGATGGCACAGTGCTTTTGGACTCGATTTCAGAAAAGTGGTGTAGAGTTAGCAAAACAAAACGCCTGCCTGCCATTGTTTGAGGCAGCTTCTACTTTTCCTGAGATTCTCGCCCTGGGAAAAGGTGTAGCCTTTTTAAGGGGTGGAGGGCAGATGCTATATTTGTGTTCCCATGGGTTCTGAAGCACCAATTTGGTGCTGCACGGCCCTAACATCAGTGCTTCTCTGGTGACTGCCCTGTCTTCTGCATGTCCCACATCAAGCTCTTTTCAGTGAGCTTTTAAGTAGATTGCAAAGAATCTTGCAGACAGCTGACAGACCACCTTTCCTGTTCCTGGGCCACTGCATTGTTTACCTGCTGTGTTGCAACAAACTGGGATGGGGTTAGGCATTGATCATTTTTTGTACCTACACCGCTTCTTGACATTAGCAAGGCATGGCTTGTATCTCAACATCCTGCCCCTCATTTCAGGGAGAGCTGCTAGACACGACTGATACCTCTACTTTTCACAAATGAAGTTCATCCTATGGCTATATTGGCAACTCTGACAGCAGGAGGCTGAGATAACCTCACAGTATCTAGTAGTCCATCTCAGCTGAGCCATCTTCCACCCAACGTAGAGATTGGTCATCCAGTTGGACCTTCTTCCCAGGCTTTTATGAAATGAGTCTCTTTGGTTTCAGATTTAAAAACAAAACATTTGCAGGCATCTTCTGCATTATATTGGTTGTGCTAGATAAGGGGGAGTCCAAACCTGGGAACTTTAAGACTTGTAGATTTCAACTCCCAGAATTCCCCAGCCAGCCCACAAGTCTTAAAGTTCCCAAGTTTGGACACCCCTGTGCTAGATCTTCAGAATTCTGGGCGTTAAAGTCCACACAACTTAAAGTTGCAAAGGTTGAGGAACACTGATAAACAGGTAGTCTTCAACTTACGACCACAGTTGAGCCCAAAATTTCTGTTGTTCAGTGAGACATTTGTTGAGTGAAGTTTGCCCCATTTTACGACCTTGCCAGATTTGTTAAGTGAACCACTGCAGTTGTTACATTAATAAAATGGTTGTAAAATGAATCTGGCTTCCCCATTGACTTTGCTTGTCAGAAGGTCGCAAAAGGTGATCACGTGACCCCGGGACACTGCCACTGTCATAAATATGAGCCAGTTGCTGAGCATCCAAATTGTGATCACATGACCAAGGGGATGCTGTAAAGGTGGTAAGTACGAAAAAAGTCACTTTTTTCAGTGCCGTTCTAACTTTGAACCGTCACTAAATGAACTGTTGTAAGTTGAGGACTACCTGTGCTGTAGATTATGCAAACATGACCAGTAAATGTTTTACCGCTGTGTGACTTTTTATAATTTTGCTGATTTTTTGATAACACATTCCACTTCGTGTACGTGAATGCATGTTTTATTATATGAATTCAATCTTCTCCACATTAGTCCCACAAGCAAATAAAAGGGAAGATGGAGAAAACATGTAGCATTTTTCCTCATCCAAAGTTTGCATTTTTTTTTCTTTCTTTCCAAGTTCCCTATCTGGAAAACCAACCACACCCTGAAATGGGAAACCGTCTGGAGAGAACTGGGCTGCCTTGCGAGAACGGCCTCGTTTTCTGTCCGAGAAGAAAGTGGACACTCCCTCAAGTCTTCCGTATCTGTAAGATTTTTTTAAAAAAATTTGAACGTGGACTTTTAAAGTAATGCAGTTTGCCAAGTGATGCCTGTTTAGTATGGTAAATGAGATGGACATTTTAGTGCTGAAAAAAAGGTTAATAAGATGAATGTTGCCCATTGGTATTTTATTATAATTATTACCGCGTTTCCCCAAAAATAAGACCGTGCCTTATTAATGTATTTATTTGCCACCAAAAAGGCACCTGGTCTTATTTTCGGGGAATATCATCCACTGACTAACCTCACTTGTGCCCATCACCCCCAGCCTCCTTTTCATTGTCAGAGACCTTCAGGAACTTCTTCTTCTGCAGCCAGCAAGGCTTTCCTGAAGGCCTCTGCAGCCGATCACAGAGTTCTGGATCGATCCGGAGCTTTGTTATCAGCTATAGAAGCCTTCAGGAAAAGCCTTGCCAGCTGCAGAAGAAATGGGCCAGCAAGGCAGGTGTTGGGGAGTGCAAGGCTTGGATATAACTGTCTGAAAGTAAGTAGTAGGGCAGCTCCACTCCCCACATCCTCACCCAGTGGTGGGTTTCAAAAATTGTTCGAACCTACTCTGTGGGTGTGGCCTCCTTTGTGGGA